CGGCGACGCCGTCCGCGCGGGCGCGCGGGCGTCGCCGTCGCCGTCGCCGTCGCCGAAGACGTCGTCGTCGTCGCCGCCGCCGTCGTCGTCGTCGTAGATGGGCTCGTCGTCGTAGCCGTCGTCGCGCTCGTCGTCGTCGTAGGGCTCGTCCTCGAGGCGCTGGTCGTCGTCGTCGTCGTAGGCCGTGCCGTCGTCGCTCTCGAGGCCCTCGTCCGCGCCGACGCCGACGCCGTCCGACGAGAGGTACTGCCGGGTCCCGATGACGAACGGCAGCGGCCGCGAGTTGTAGACGTCCTCGGCCTCGTCGCCGCCGTCCTCGACCTCGCCGCCGTCGTCGAAGAAGACCTTCTGCTTCAAGGCGACGAGGCCCAGGGCCAGCGCGCCGCTCCACCGGGACCGCGCGCCGTCGTCGTCGGCCGGCGCCGCCGGCGCGTCGGCCGCGGCGCCGGCGGCGCCGGGGTCCTCCTCGTAGACGCGGTTCTCGACGAACTGCGTGTTGCAGAGCATGAGGAAGCCGTTGAAGGCGTTCTTCGCGCCGACCTCGGCCTCCCGCGCCTCCTTGGCCAGGGAGCCGAGGCTGTCGTTGACGGCCTTGGTGCGCGCCGTCATCGACGCCGCGAGGGTCCGCAGCTGCTCCAGGAGGGCCGCGTCGTCCTCGAGCGTCCGGACGGGCTCCGCGGGCGCGTCGAAGGCCATCGAGCCATCCACCGATGGCACTAATGGCTCCTCCATCGTCGGCCGCGAGCCAATCAAAAAAAAGAGAATCACCCGAACTTGAACCAGTCGAAGCACTAATGAGAGAGGACGAGGCGGTCGAGCGCGCGCGCGGCGACGAGGGCGCCCGCGACGCCGCCGTATTTGACGATCCAGGAAAACGCGACGTCGTCGCTCGTCTTGAAGCGCCCTTCGCCCCGGCGGAGCTGCTCCGGCGTGCCGAGGCGGAGCCAGCGGCCGAAGGCCTGGCCGCGCTTCCTCCACACCTCCGCCGGCGCGCTGTAGACGTCGATCCTGCGAGGGGCGCGTCGTCACTTTGGGAAAGAGGCGACCGGGACGCCGGGCGCGCGCGTGTTCGGGTGGAGGCATTCCCAGAACTGGCCCACGGAGAAGAAGATCGCGAGGCCCGCCGCCATGGTCCCCGGCACGCGGCCCGCGTAGATCCGCCGCAGGTGGTCGCGGGCGAGCATGGCGTCGAGCACGTAGAAGAGCGTCGGCGACGAGTGGACCCAGCCGATGAAGCTCGACACGCCGAACTCCGTGGCGGGCTCCTTCTGCGCTCGCAACAGGACGTCGTTGGGCACGCAGCCGCCGCAGGCCGCCGCCACGAGAAACCCGAAATACACGCTGTAGGCCGCGAAGAAGCCCGCGGCGTGCGCGACGCCCGCGACGCGGTCGAGCGCCGGGTCCGCGGTCGCGCCGACGGCGAAGTACTGCACGTGGAACCACAGGCACCAGTTCGTGAGGAACGTCATCGCGTCGCGGCCGTACAGCATGGAGCAGAAGAGCGCCAGGTAGGTCTGGAAGGCCAGGAGGCGCACGAGCTGCGCGGCGACGTCGCTCGTGACGTCGAAGCTTCCGAGGAACCGGAGCGCGAGGTACGCGATTCCCGCATAACAAGCCGCGATCTTGCAGCCCGTGACGCGCGAGATGAAGCCGCAGCCGCCGGCGTACGTCACGAAGACGATGGCCGCGTAGAGCTGCAGCGACCCGGCGCTCGCGTCGTCGAACATCGTGTGCGCGCGGGGCTGCCGCAAAGACGAGCTCGGTGCAAGAATGGTGCTCGGATGCTTCTTGCGGTTCAGCTTGAAGCGCGCCGGCCTCAAGCAACCTTGAAAAGCAACCCCTAGGGCTTACGGCACCGCGCCCCCCGCTCCCGCTCGGCCTTGGCCGCGGCGTCGTAGAAGGCCGCGTCCTCGGCGCTGGCGGCGACGAAGGCCGCCTCGCGGCGCGCGTGGCGCGCGGCGTCCGCGTCCTTGCGGCGCACGAGCGTCGCGCCGCCCGCGTGGCGCATCTGCTTGGCGACGCCGCGGTCGTCGGAGAGGCGCCGCGCGGTCTTGACGTGGGCGCCGAGGCGGAGGAAGTGGGACGGGAGCGCGCGCTCGAGCTCCGCGACCGTCGCGGCGGGCGCCGCGCCGAGGACGACGACCGCGTCCGCGGCGCGCCGGAACGCGGCGTCCGCGGCGCGCTCGCCGGCGCGCGCGCCGCAGCCGCCGCCGCAGAACCAGTTCACGTCGGCGTCGGGCGCGAGGCCCAGGGACGCCTCGAAGCAGTCGCCGCGCGCGGCGGCGAGGCACCGGTCGAGCTCGTCGAGGACGCGCGGCGACGCGCGCGCGGCCGCCGCGCGGTAGCGGTCCCGCGGGTGGCGCGCGATGGCGACGACGACGGGCGGCCGGCCGCCGGCGGCCGCCGGCGCCGGCGCCGGCGGCGGGAAGGCGCCCAGAATGACGACGGCGTACTTGTTCGACCGCGCGACGCAGTCGTCGGCGGCGGACGCGTTCCGCGCGTCGAGGCTCCCGCACACGGAGAAGTCGTTGTCGACCTTGAGCTTGCCCATGGCGTCGGCGATGCGCCGCGTCGCCGCGCCGGCGCCCGGCGGCGCGAGGTAGAGCACGACGCGGTGCGCGCCGCTCAGCGTCGGGCAGTCGCCCGCCGCGCGCGCGGCCGCGGCGCCGCGGCGGCCGAAGCCCGCGACGCCGGCCTCGAAGTCGTGGGCGTGGATGACGACGCAGCCGTCGACGGAGGTGCCGTCCTTGAGCGTCGTCGCGCGGCAGTGGCGCACGTTGCGGCAGTTGTAGGCCATGGGCACGCGCTCCGCCACGAGGCCGTCGTCGCGCGCCGCGGCCGCCATCGCCTTCTGGAAGCTCGGCTGCTCGCGGCGCGTCGACGCCATGACCGTGCGGTAGACGCGCTCCCAGTTGCGCCAGAGCGCCGCGGCCGCCGGCGTCCGCGCGTAGGCGAGCACGCCCGCGGACGCGCCCGTGTGGTTCCCGCGGCCGCCCATGACGCACGCGACGTCCGCGCGCGCGGCCTCGAGGCGTCGGAAGAGGTTTTCCGGCGACCGGCAGGCGTAGGTGTCGCTGTCCATGTAGACCGTGCGCTCGTAGGGCGACAGGAGCATGCCCCGGAGCTTCTGGAGCCGGAAGCCCATCGAGTCGTGCACGTCCAGGTCGGGCATCGCGGCCTCGGCCGGCAGCACGACGTCGAAGACGTCGAGGTCGTTTCCGACGTCGCGCAGCGTCGCGGCGTCGGAGACGAAGGTGATGTTCGCGCCCGGCGACACGGCGCGGAGGCGCGTCGCGGCGAAGACGGCCTCGTCGCCGCGGTTCGTGACGAAGAGGTAGCCCTCGTCCGGCCGGCCGGAGAGGAGCGGGGCCGCCAGCAGCAGCGCGAGCGCGCGCCGCATCGTCGTTGCGTTCGAAGAGGTCCGAGGTGGGTCGTGCTGCGTTTTTCAGACGCCAAACACACGACCCATAATTTGCCACTGCAATTGCACTTCACCGAGGTGCATCGCCGACTTCATCCACTAGTCGCGCCGAGCTCCGCAGCACGCAGTGCTGAGCTCGCAGCGACTGCCAGTGTCTACCAAATGCGACGGGGTCAGATTTCTTCACATCTTCAGGCGAAATTCACGCGAAAAACACTCCTGTCGCTCGACGCTGACCGCCGCAGCCATGGCCGCCTCGCTCATCCTGCGCCGCGGCTTCCGCGCGACGCGCCTGCTCAACATGCCGACGGTCGTGACGACGATCAGCCCCGGCGACGGCGCGACGTTTCCCAAGGCCGGCGACGCGCTCACGATGCACTACACGGGCACGCTCGCCGCCGACGGCTCCAAGTTCGACTCGTCCGTCGACCGCGGGACGCCGTTCTCGTTCACGATCGGCGTCGGGCAGGTGATCCGCGGCTGGGACGAGGGCGTCATGAAGATGAGCCTCGGCGAGAAGGCGACGCTGGCGATCCCGAGCGAGGACGGCTACGGCCCGCGCGGCGCCGGCGGCGTCATCCCGCCGGACGCGGACCTCGTCTTCGAGGTCGAGCTCCTGAAGATTAACTAGAGGACCCCCTTGAGGGAGAGGGACGTCCACTCGTCGAGGACGTCGGCCTTCCGGAGCGTGACGACGACGCGGCCCTTCTCCGCGACGAGCTTGTAGGTGCACTTCGCGGGGACGACGTCGTAGCGCAGGTTGGAGATGTCGAGCTTGTAGCGCTCGACGGAGTCGACGGCCGTGTCCACCGAGGGCTTGGCGATGACCAGGGTGAAGGACCGCCGCTGGAACCGCGCGACGATGCCCGCGTCGCTGCAATTCCGCACGTCGCCGTCGTCGGATGTCTTCCGCGAGTGGAGCGCCGTCGGCGGCACCTCGACGTAGACCTTGACGTTGTCCGTGCTGTCGGAGAAGGAGTATTTGGTGAGCGGCGTCTCCGTGGCCCGGCGCTGGGCCATCGCGCTCACGCGGCTCTTCAGCCGGTCGATCTCCGCGCGGAGCGCGGCGTCGCCGGCCGCGGGGCTCGACGCCTCGGCGGCCTCGCCGTGCTCCGGGTCGAGGCGCTGGGGGCCGCAGCCCGTCGTGATGCCCGCGCCGGAGATGATCTTCGCGTTGTCCGGCACGGACCAGTCCTTGCTCGCGTGGGCGTAGTAGTACGCGTTCGAGCCCTTGGACTTCGTGTTCGCCTCCAGCGCCGACGTCGCCGGCGCCTCCGCGGGTGCCTGCGGCGGCTCCGGCGGCGGGCAGGAGCTGCCCCAGAGCGGCTTCGGCGCGCGCGGCATCTCTTCGACGAGAGGCTCGGCCATCGTCTCCGTTTTGTTTACGCTCGATGGTGCCGCGATGATGCAGCGATTGTTGCGGGCTCTCAAGATCGAGTAGAGCTTGCGCCGCCGCTCGACGCCACCGGATCATCATGCGCGTCCTCGCCTTGCTCGCCTGCATCATTGCGGCGAGCGCGTTCCAGCAGCCGGGCCGCCACGTCGCGCGCGTCGCGTCCGGCGAGACGCGCCGCGGCCGCGTCGCCGAGCCCTGGGCGCCGCCGACGGCGCTCCACGCCAAGGTGCCCGAGGACATCCGCCCCCAGCCGGGGAACACGGACGAGGGGCCGGGCCTCGGCGTGCGCGTGCTCGCGCCGCCGCTCGCGCTCCTCGCCATCATCCTCGTCGTCGCGCAGGTCGCGACGCCGGTGCGGTGAAACCGCGCCTCGCGCGCGGACCGCCTAAGTCGTAGCAACCGTGGTGGAAGCGGCTTAGTCGTCGCCGGCCGGCCGCCGGTGCGGGCCTCGGCCGTCGCCGGGGAACGTGGTTCGGTGCCGCCGCGACCCGGTGCGGGCGGCGCGGGGGGCACGTCATGGGGCGTTCGGGCGCGCGCGCGGGTGGAGCGTGCGGTCTCCGGGGTCGCGCGCGTGGCGGGAGGCGCGGCGCGGCGGCGCGGCGCGGCGGCGACGCGTGCTTCCTAGAGCTCGTCCTTGGCGGCGGCGGCGAGCTTCGCGAGGAGCTTGATCTCCTGCTTCATCTTCTTCTGCGTGCCCTCGGAGACGAGGTCCTCGAGCTTGGCGATCTCCGCGGTGTAGTCCTGGCTCCTCCACGTCTCGAGGTAGGCCTTCTCGTCGTCGTCGCAGCCCTCGCCGTCGACCTTGCAGACCTTCATGCACTCTTTCGTCGCCTCGATCATGCGGTCCGGCACCTTGAACTCGTCGCAGATCTTCTGCGTCGTCTTGCGCTCGACGGGCGCGCCGCCGACGCCCGTCTCGGCGTTGAAGTAGCGGAGCGTCGGCCAGCCGCCGGCGCCCGGGTTCATGGGCGTGCCGTCGGGCGCGCTCCGGATCGGCGACTCCCGCAGGTTAATGTCGCCGAAGACGACGCCGGGGTCGTCCTTCATCGCCTCGTAGGCCGCACGCCAACCCGACGACTGCTTGACTCATCAGCCTCAGCCCTCGGACGCGATGAACCGCACCATCGCGGTCTTGCCCTCCTTGAGCGCGCCGGTGATGAACCCGTTGAAGTTCGACGGCGTCAGGACCGTCGTGCCCTCGACGAGCGCGCTGCCGGCGGCGTGCGCCTACGGACGGACATGAAAGGTCGTTCGTTTTCGTTTTCGTCGGGACGCTGGAGCGCGCGGTCGTGACCGTCAGTGCGAAGAGGCTCGCGCGCATGAGGCGCGCCATGGTTCTGATCGGCTTGGGTGGGTCGTCGATCGCAGCGGCGAATCGATGGCCCAGATGCCGCCGGCGGTTCAATCAGGCCAGAAGTGCACTGCAACATAGCAGCCCACACTCCCCAAAACTTCCTCCGCATCCACCCATCGATTCTGAGCGCCTGTTCGCCATCAATCTTCGACGAGGATGAGCGCGGCGGTGGCGAGCGAGGTGGCGCGCACGGAGCGGCTCGACTACCTCGCGGCCCAGGACGAGGCCCACGCCCGGGAGCGGCTCTCGAACCAGGCCCGGGCGCTCGAGGCCCAGGACGCGGCGCGCGCCGAGAAGCTCGCGCACCTCGCGGCCCAGGACGAGGCCCACGCGGCGGAGCGCAGGTCGAACCAGGCCGCCGCGGCGTCGTCCGCCGAGGGCGAGCGCGCCGCGCGCGTCGCCGAGGCCGGCACCGCGAAGCGCAAGTCGAAGCTCTCCGAGGCCGTGTGCGCCGACGAGCTCGAGAAGACCGCGACGACCAAGGCCGTCAAGGCGCTCGCCGAGGCCGAGCGCGCCGAGCGCGTCCAGGCCGCCAAGGACCGCGACGACGCGCTAGCGGCGGAGCGCGCGGACGCGCAGTCGAAGGCGCTCGAAGCGATGGAGGCCGAGCGGTCCGACCGCGTGTCGCGCGACGCCGCGGCCGCCGAGGCGGCGGACGCCGAGCGGTCCGCGAACCAGCAGGCCGCCCTGAAGGCCGCCGACGCCGAGCGGGCCGCGCGGGGGACGAGCGTCAAGAAGCCCCTCGACGGGACGGACATCGCGGCGACCATCTCCGACGCGTCCGCGGAGCTGGAGCAGAAGGCGAACCGCCGCCGCGCGTCGTCGGCCGCCGAGGAGGCCCGCGCCGAGAAGATGGCCGCGACGGCGGCCGTCGACGCCGCCTCCGAGGAGGAGCGCGCCGCGAACCAGGCGAAGGCTCTGGCGGCCATGGACGCGGCCCGCGACGAGAAGCTCCGCGACGAGGAGACGCTGGCCGCCGACGCGGCGCGCGAGCGCAAGATGAACACGATCCGCGCCAAGAAGGCCGCGGAGGCGGAGCAGGCCGAGCGCGTCAAGGAGAACGGCACGGAGAAGCGCACGTCCGCGCTCGTGGACGCCATCTGCACGGAGGAGCTCGAGAAGACCGCGACGACCAAGTCCGTCAAGGCCCTCGCCGACGCCGAGCAGGCGGAGCGCGTCCAGGAGGCCAAGGACCGCGACGACGCCCTCGCGGCGGAGCGCGCCGCCGCGCAAGGAGAAGCGATCAAGGGCATGGAGGCGGAGCGGCTCGAGCGCATGCACCAGGACGCCAAGATGACGGCGCACACGGAGCTCGAGCGCTCCGCGAACCAGAAGGCCGCGCTGAAGGCCGCCGACGCGGAGCGCGAGGAGCGCGCGTCCGAGGGCCTCAAGAAACCGCTCGACAACACGGACATCGCCACGACGATCAGCGACGCCTCGGCGGACATGGAGTCCAAGGCGAACCGGCGCCGCGCGTCGGCCGCGGCCGAGGAGGCGCGCGCCGAGAAGGTGGCCGCCATCGCGTCCGTCGACGCCGCGAGCGAGGAGGAGCGCGCCGCGAACCAGGCGAAGGCTCTGGCGGCCATGGACGCGGCCCGCGACGAGAAGCTGCGGGATGAGGAAATCATCGTCGCCGACGCGGCGCGCGAGCGCAAGATGAACACGATCCGCGCCAAGAAGGCCGCGGACGCCGAGCGCGACGAGCGCGTCAAGGAGAACGGCACGGAGAAGCGCACGTCCGTGCTCGTGGACGCCATCTGCACCGAGGAGCTCGAGAAGACCGCGACGACCAAGGCCGTCAAGGCCCTCGCCGACGCCGAGCAGGCGGAGCGCGTCCAGGAGGCCAAGGACCGCGACGACGCGTTGGCTGCCGAGCGGACCGCCGCCCAGGGCGAGGCCATCAAGGGCATGGAGGCCGAGCGGCTCGAGCGCATGCATCAGGATGCCAAGATGACGGCGCACACGGAGCTCGAGCGCTCCGCGAACCAGAAGGCGGCGCTGAAGGCCGCCGACGCGGAGCAGGCCGAGCGCGCGTCCGAGGGCCTCAAGAAGCCCCTCGCCGGCACGGATATCACGGAGACCATCTCCGACGCGGCGGCGGACATCGAGCAGAAGGGCAACCGGCGCCGCGCGTCTTCGGCCGCCGAGGAGGCGCGCGCCGAGAAGCTCGCGGACATCGCCGCCGTCGACGCGGCCGCGGAGCGCGAGCGCGCGGCGAACCAGGCCAAGGCCCTCGAAGCCATGGACGCGGCCCGCGACGAGAAGCTCGTCGCCACGGAGCAGAAGGACGCGGACGCGGCGCGCGAGCGGAAGCGGTCGCAGAAGCTCGCGCGGCAGGCGTCCGAGAAGGAGCGCGCGGACCGCGTCGCGGAGCACGGCGACGCCGTGCGCGCGGCGCCGTCCCACGCGGCCATGGACCCCGCCGCGGCCGCGGCGAAGGCCCCCGCGGCGCCCGCGGCCCCGGCGAAGGACGACGCCGAGGAGGACAGCTCCTTCGTGCTCTGCGGCAGCAAGACCGACGAGGCCGCGAGCCACCACGACATCACGGCGTCGATCTGCGGCGGCGCGACCCACGAGGAGGACAAGAAGGGCTCCAAGAAGAGCTGCAAGGCCTGCGCGATCATGTGAGCGCGCGCGCCCCGCCGCGCCCCCCGCCCCCTTTTTGCCCCGACCCCCGCTACGTTAGCAGCTGCTGGCAGCACTTGGAGCACGCGTAGCAGAGGGGCCTCAGCAGGAGCGCCGCGGTCTTGGCGACCGCGCGGAGGAAGAGCCGGACGCCGCGCGGCCCGCCGGGCACGTACGTGCCGAGGTAGTAGAGGAGCGTGACCATCTGCAGGCCCGAGCAGAGCGCCGTGTAGACGTAGCTCCGCCGCAGGCACGCGGCCCAGAGCGTCGCGGCCATCGTCGCGACGTAGGCCGCCGTGAACGGCAGCCGCCGCGGCTCGCAGAGCGTCCGCAGCTGCGCCGCGGGCCCCCGGAGCGCGGCGAAGGCGGCCATGAACAGCAGGCTCGCGAGCGTGAAGCAGAGCGCGAACTTCTGCGGCCGGAGCACGAGCACGGGCAGGCCGACGACGAAGGCGACGACGAAGAGCGCGCCCGCCGCCAGCAGCGTCGCGACGAAGAGGCGGAAGCGCCGCGTCGCCTCGACGGTCGCCTGGGCGGACTCGCGCACGTTCTCGGACGTGAGCCAGGGCGGCGTCCACTTCTCCTGCTGCGCCGCGAGCGAGTCCTCGAAGCTGTCGAGGCCCTCGTCGAGGGAGCTCACGGCGCTGCGCGCCCAGGCGGGCAGGAACGAGAGACCGTCGTCGGCGCCGTCGTCGCCGGCGAAGCCGGCCTCCTCGTCCTGCACCTCGTCGAGCCACCGCGAGAACTTGCTCATCTTTTCAAAAGTTCAGAGGACTACGAAGTCGAGGCGTCCATTGCGCGCGGCGTANACTTCGGCGCAACATCGACGCAACTTGCCGTGTTCGACAAAACTTTACGTCGGCGCGGCCGGGGCCGGGAAGCTCATGATGGCCATGTCGTTGAAGGGCCGCTCGAGGTCCGGGTCGCGGCCCGGGTCCGCGGCGACCTCGACGACGCGCGCGAGCGCCGCGGCGATGTCCGCGTCCATGTCGTCGCCGATCTTGCGCGCCGCGTAGCTCGCGAAGGAGTTGCCGACGATGACGAGGCCGTCGAGGCGCGGCGCGTGGCGCCGCAGGACCTCCGCGTAGAGCGCCATGGGGCAGTGGGGCATGAAGTAGAGCGCGCGCGGCGGCGGCGGCGGCGCGCCCGCGCCGAGCGGCGCGCCCGCGCCGACGCCCAGGCGCCGCAGGGCGTCGCGCTCCGCGGCGCAGAGGATGGGGTCGTAGGCCTCGGCGCCGACGCCGCACGCGCGCGCGGCGAGCTCGAGGAACGCGAGCTGCCACTGGGAGTTCCGGCTCTCGAAGATGGAGCCGAGGCCGAAGCAGACGACGCGGTCCGGCGCCGGCGCCGCGCGCACCAGCGCGTCGAGCGCGCGACCGCACCAGGCGCTCTGCTCCAAGGCCGCGACGCGGGCGGCCTGGTCCGCGTCCCAGGACGCCGGCGCCACGGGATCCGCGCGGTCGTCCGCGGCGTGGGCGCAGCAGCCCTGCGCCGGCGCGCCGCGGCCGCGGCCGCGCTTCTTTCGCTTCACCGTCTCCCACTCCGCCATATACGGGTTGGGGTCAGGCTGCGTCCATCGCAGTGCACGGCTGCCGCCACAGGCCCACGTTTGCCACATCAAGATCGCGACTCGCCAACGCAGCCTCGCACGTCGACGCGTCTCGTCGAGCCGCTCCTCCCAGCCCCAGGAAATATCGCAAGCATGTTCGGGCGCGCGCTCCGGTTGACGGCCGCCAAGGCGCGCTACGCCGCCGCCGCGTCGGCGCCCGTGGCGCTCGCCGTGCCGAGCGCTTCCTGCGAGGCGAACAACTCGACCTACGCCCTCGCCGCCGGCGCGGCGCTCCTGGGCTACACGGCCTTCAGCGCGCACGCGACGTCGGCCAAGTGCGAGGCGCAGAACGCGCGCCTCGAGTCCCTCGAGGTCGGCGCGGCGAAGAAGAGCTCGAGCGCCTTCGTGTTCATCAAGCCGCACGCCGTCACGGAGCCC